AGAATTGAACTTATCAAAAAAAAAAACAATCATAAAAATACACGAATTAGCCCTACTCAGTGCTTTAAAAGAGATATTGTATAAATTGCCTGATTTTTAAATTGCTGCATACAACTTTTCTACGTTTCAATTTGGAGTGCGGTATATGATTTTAAAGTAGTTGTGCAGAACGAAAATAATTTTTTAATGATTTTTGAACTCTGCGCTTAACTTGCGCCTGAATCGAATAAAAAAAGGAGAACCTGGATGCCAAACGCTTTGTATTTTCTTCGAAGTCGACATTTATAGTGAATATTGCTACTGATTCTTTGCGTTGCACTGTGGTAGATTTCATAGGTCAAAAGTATAGAATAAAATGTTCGAAATTTGCGACTGTAAGTCTCAAAACCTAAATATATAATATAATAATAATATAAAAATAAGGGAGAAAAGAGACAATAAAACTAAGCGGACTGTGCAGTGAACGGAGTTTTAAATGTGGTTTTCTTAAGAAAATTAAATATTAATATTAAATCGTATTTAAATGTGATAAATTATTATAAATATTGTTTTAAAATTATTGTTTTACCAGCGACCTTTCGAGTGTTGTATTTTTCTTTATGTGTTGATTTGAGTTAGACAAAAGGTTGTGATCGCTGTCTTGCCCTCAAATGAAACACTTTTTTTTTGTTATTAGTTAATGTTTTCTTAGTCTATATTATTAAATTTAGCTACCAACTTTTGCCATTCTCTGTGTTATTCCTGTGATTCTACCCAATGCTTTGTGTTGTCTTGCTTATATGTGCGTGTGTATGTATGTACGTGTAAGTTCTTGCTAAGCTGTATATTTTGTTTTAAGAATTGACTACCACTAAATTCAAAACAGCTATCAACCGAAAATTAAACATCGATTGTATTTTTCAACTAACTATGATGGATGGCAAAGTCTGCAATGCCTTAACTGAAAGCACAGCTGCGAAGTGTTACATATGCCAAGCCACATCTACTGAGATAAACGATATTAACAAATGTTTGCAATAAAAGTTTCGAAGAGATCGCTAGGAATTTGCATTGTCTCATTACATGCCTACAATCGATTTTTTGAATATTTCTTTTTTCACATTTCTTGTAGACTTGAAGTCAGACAATGGTATATTGGCTTAGAGGAAAATGAACGATTTCTAAGAAGGAAACAAAATGTTCAGGGCGAGTTTCGTAAAAAATAAAATAGTTTTAATGGTTGACAAAACCAAAAACAGGTGCTAGTGCTCTTCAATGATCAGCTGAAATAACTGACATAGAAAAACAGCTGATTGAAAATTGTGCAATTTTATAGCCAAATGATAAGGCTGACAGTAATGCTGACGGTAATGCCTTATCATTTGGCTATACAATTAATGTTGATAAATTTAGACAATTTGTTCTAGATACTGCAAGAGAACTAACATCCAAGTTTTCCTGGTATCCTATTATCTTCATCCTACGGTATAATTTTCATTTACTCTTAGTTTCGATTGGAGTGCTCTATGAAGAATCAGTGGAAGTATTTTTGAAGGCTGTGGGTTGTATACGTTTCCTGTGCATTTATCGGAGGCAATTCCATTTTTTTGTAAAATCTCTCTTCTGATATACTATGGTAAGCATGCAAGACACACATACATATATATAATATTATATTTGCACATAGTGACTAGGTGAAACATAGGGCCAGGGGGTCCATTAACTAACTCCAAAATGGGTTGGTGTTGCGAAAACATACTCATCACAACATCAGCCTCATCTTCAACCAAGAATTTTATTGCCATTCCGCTAAGTGAAAAACATGAAAAACTCTTCCAAAATTCATATAAGTAAACTCCACACTTGGAAAATCGTTCAAAAATAACATCTTTGTCCATAATAATCAGCCTACGCCTCAATATTATTTCAATAATTTCAATACTTTAAAGACAAGAATAAAATGAACAATTGAGTTATTGTTGTTTGTTGCTTCTCCTGCAATCTCAACGGTGACAACAAGAACAAATTCAAAGTTATTTTAAGGCAATAACAAAAATCTCCCAAACATTGTCTATGTTCAAAGGCAGCAGGCCGCCACGTGTTGACGCTTAGGCAGGAGCAACTGTAAACTAGCAACTGATTGCTGGCGAAATTGTTACAGCAATATCAACTGGTTGCCAACACGACACCGCACTAATGTTTACTACTGGTGCGAATTATGTACGTACGTGAGTGTGTGTGAGTGTGTAACCGTTGTTTTTACTGTTCTTGTAACTGTAGTAACTTTGCCAGCTCTTGGATTATTAGAATGCGTAGAATGTGGCATGCAACATACTCGCACGGCACAATTTACAGGTAGCAACGAGGATGGCGCGTGCCAGCTTTGGCAACGCACATAGATGAATTCTCGGCCTTTTAATAAATTGACAACACACACACACAAGCATACAGGGCTTACAGAACACACACACATATACGCACACAATTGCTGGTATACCTTTGACAATTCACGTGAAATTTTTCGTTTCTACTCAAAGGAAGAGATTTGTAAATTCCTTGCTTGCATTCATAAATAATTATCTCTGGTGCACACATATACACCCACATATAAGTGCTGCATGTGTGTGGTAGTTTCCGGTTCCATGTATGAATAAATTAATAAAAAAGTTGAAGTTTGCTGTTGGCCCTCGCAGTTTTATTGGTTAATCCAACTTAGTTTTACCTTCATTGTTGTTTTTGTTTTTTTATACTTTTTTATTTCACAGGCATTATCTATCTACTTCTTTTCTGTTATTAAAATTTTTTTTTATCGAGTATGAAGTGTCAGTGTATAAAGTGAAGAAGACGATGGGGGACGAGGCGGTAGCAATATACAGGCCAAAGCCAATCCAGGAAAATAATGATCACAAAAGACAACACCTTAATTGCACTCAGTTTCTTATTATTGTATACGACAAATTCGTCCCACGAAGAGAACATTACCGAGAGGTGCCAAATGCCCTACCGAATCGAGAAAGCAACGTGCTTGCATTGTACATGGTCTCAGTGTTGTATAACGGATGTGTTTTTCTTTTAGAGAAATGTAATCCCACTGCCCATTAATATAAATTTGTTCGAAAACATTGCTCTCAGAGAGCTGCGGTGAAAGCAACGAATTTGTAGAGTTCGGATGGGAGTCAGCCTAAGATTTGAAATTAATTTGGTTTATTTTTCTGATAAACGAGTTTTTGTGAGGGCATAATTATCAAGTTTTAAAGCCCAATATGCTATATGAACCTTGTCAAAAAAAAAAAACACGAACAGAATCGCCTTTAGACGTTTCTTGAATATGCTTAAAAATCCTCTCGATCAGTTAGACCAAGAACCATACTGCTTTTTTAGAGTACCCAAGTTTTATGAAGAGTTTTGTGATTTGTGTCCTTCTTTTAAACACAAATCCCAAATTACTGAAGCTTTTCTATTAGTGGAATGGTGTAGGTATTTAGACATTTATTTAATGATTGGCTGGCAATTACAGAAGTTGTGGAACTCTCTGACTTCCATTGTCATAATAGTAAATCTCTATAATGTTGTAGCGATTCCTCTGCAAGCTACAGTAATCTTAAATTTCTATATATTTTTTGCTTTGCCGTTTAAACATCGGTTTCTTTAAAGTGTTATATCCACTAGTGAATTTGAAAAAGAAAATTTTTTTTTTATATACGCATATCGAATGTACATGCATTTTCGACACACAGTGCCAATATGCCCTCCCACCTAGACATACATAAAGGCAGTTGCGCCTACTTGCATAATTGAAACCCTTTGGGCCCATTTAGGCACATCAACAGCAATTGTGCTTAGACCCCAATTAAATCATAAAAATCGTCTACATTCGGAAATAATAAAAATTTGGTACTCTTTGTAGCAGCATAACCACACGGGCGGGTGAAGAACGGTATGCTAAGAAAACTCAAGTAATGAAAGTGTCTGAAAATACAGTATTTTCTAGGCATTCCAAGTGCATTGAGTAAGCAAGGAAGCTGGAAGTCCGGTCGACCACTTCCAGTAAGAGAGCGCAACTGCAGTCTTAGCAAGTGGTTTGTTTTTGTTATTAAGCAGTACTACAGTAGTGCAAGAAGTCGATTGCCTAACAGGTGTATGCACTGCGTCCATTCACAATAGACTCTCCACAACAACTGCGACAAGCGGCGTGAATGAGAGATAGAGAGAGGGAGAGTGCGTACACATTATAAGTCACGCCCACGAATGAGCATCTCGTTCATGCATAATTGATAACGGTGAGCGCGCTAGTGAGCGACAGAGAGCAAGCGAGTCGTCCGCTGATGGCATGGCAGCGAAGCAGCAGCCAGGGCCATAGATGCGCTACGTGTGTTTACGACAAGTGCTGTTGGAGACAGTTAAGTGGGGTGTGTATGCCTGTGTGTGCGAACCCCACCCCGTATCAAGATGGCTGGCGCTGAGCGATTGCCCAAGATAGACAGACATTACTGCTAAGCCAAACGATGCCGTTGGATAGGATAGAGTCGCGCTATCTTTGTTGCGCCACCTTGACCTCCATATTGGAAATCGCTTGCCAATATACTCGCTGCTTGCGGCAGTTGGGGCTGGAGCAGCAGGCTCCATAGCTAGTTTCGTGTGCTTGTTGTTGTTGTTGTAGTTATGCACGGTGGTGAAGCTACTAATGGCAGCCTTAACGCGCGATTAGGCAAAGCAGCCAAAAAAAATATGCTATTCGCGCTTATCTCGCCACGGGGCGGGTGCAGGGGGCCAGAGCAGAGTGCTGTTAAAAAATGTACAATTCCGTGGGCGTGCGAAAATAAATTACCCCGGGTGTGTAGAAGCTGCTTTTGTAAAAATTTTGGTTCTAAGCAATAGAAAAGTTGGTGCTAGTTGGTATGAAATCGCTCTTAGCGCAAGCCAAAAATAAATTTTTAAATCAACAAGGCACAAGACTTAGGTCCACGCACCCCCGCTTTTAGTTATTAACTACGCCACTGAGTCTTAAGTTTAAATGTTTTGCTTTGTTTTTTTTTTTTGCTGTACACTCGATTGTCTTATTATTGTTTTGCTATTGTTGTGCTCAAGCGAATGGCTGGATTTGAGAGGACTGCGAATTGGAAGGAGCGCCACAGCCTTAGCCGCAGCCTCAGCCTCACCGTGTGTTGTCGGTGTTGGTGGTGGTGTTGATTGAAACTCGCCCTCAATGCTTGGCGACAGACAGCGCAGCTTAGCTGGCAGGCTGCCTAAATTGCTCGATTCGTCTCCGCTGGTGGTTGCTCGCTTCGAGTTCATAACAATTCGATTTAAATGCGAATTGTCCGCTCGCCGAGTGTAACGCGCTTGTGCATTCGTCACCGTTAGTTTTGGCAAATTTTGCACTGTTGCACAAAGCCAACACATACACGCTGCTACACATGTGACTTCATACCGACACGCATATTTAATGACCATTTAAGGGACATTAATTTGCTCCCAATGCGACCAGTCGGGTCAACGCAGTGACACAGCTCAGACAGCAAGCTCAGCTTCAATCTTTCGAAATTGTTGTGTTGCAAGTGCAGTGTGGCAATGCCGTGTTGGAATGTGAACGGTGAATGTGGTTGTTGCTGCTGCCGCGGCAGTGCCGAGAATTTGTTGGATTTAATTAAAAGTGTCAATTAAATTATAACCGTGAATTAAGTGGTTGATTTAACCGCAAACGAAACAAAGAGTGCGCTACTAGTAGAACGGGAGCAGGGTGCAACAGACGAAAGGCGCTTACTGTTGCCGTTTAGAAAGTGTGTTAATGACTTGGAGCACGAAAAGTGTTTACAAACACAAAGTTAATTCATGAACCGTAAAAATAATGTTGACAGAAGTTAATATCTAAAACAAAAATATTATAAAAAAAAAATACCAAAATTTGTGCAAACGAACGAAAAATAAAAATGTATGATACTTAAGAAATCGGTTTCATCCGTCCGGGAAGCTTGACTATATGACTCCTTAAACATACAATTCAAGTTTCGAAGAAATCAAGCTTATACTTACATGTAAATAGAAGACTCTAATGTAAGCAAATAAAAAAATTAAATCAAAAATAAAATAACAAACAAAATTAAATACGTTTACAACGTATGTTTGGGTGTATGTAAGGACTCCACACTACCGCATTTCGTATTGAAGCCAACGACTCTTTTTATGTCACTTCGAAGTTGCTGGAAGTTCATAGACATTTGATTGAATTAATCTGTGTTATGTAAGCCAGCCCAATTGAACGCTAAAGTCGAGGTGAGTGCGTTTAATTACAACTTTGCGATTTCAGGCGTTTTCATTTCATTAGCGTTGTGAGTTTTATGTTACTTTTTATGACACTTGGATTGTTATCGCTTTCGACGGCAGCTTTGATCTCTCGATTGGTTTTATTGTTGCAGTTTGTCTATGGAAAACAGACGCCAATGTCTATATGTCGAGATTACAAAATAGTTTACATAAAATAAGGCGTGCATAAATGTTTTGTTTACTAATAAATATTAGTATCTTTACTTAAAGCGCTGGCATTTTTTAATTAAAGCAACAAAAGTTTGTTTCATTGTTATTGTAAGCAATTTTATTTTTCCTTTGAAAGTGTTAAAAATTAAATAAATACTAATTATTTATCACATATTTTTTTAACTGTCGGGCGTTGATTTAAAGCTTACAAGTTATGTAAGAAACAAGTTTTGCTTTATTTAATTTCATACAAGCTTTATATGTATATATAAAACTGAATTATATTTTTTGAAGAGATATTTTTCGTAGATGTGGTAACTCTGTATATTTTCATAAGGTATATTTTGGTAATATATATATTTTATTTAATACTTTTGATTTGAACTCCAACTCCACTACGTCTTATCACAAAATAAATATATTTTATTATTTAAAAATTGCTTTTATCAAATGAGTTAAGTTCCTTTCCAGCAAACAGGATAATCATTTCTAAAAAAAGTTCAAAATATTATAAATGTTTTTAAACAGATATAGAAAACTTTTCTGTTTTGAAGTCGTTTAGTATGGTCATTGTTTTTGGTTTTTTCAAGAAAAAGAATTTAAATATGAAATCAGTTATTTGACGCAACAATTTTCCATTGAAAATGAGCGTGTTTTTGTGATATTAAGTCAAAAGAAAATTAAAAAATAATTGTTTTATATCAAAAATATAACGGTGTGTTCCGAACATAATAAGGTCAGTTTACCCCAGATTTCGGGAAAGAAACATTTTTTTTTTGTAAAAGATAAAAATAAAATCCAAAACCCTAATTATTTGAATTTTTCACATACGTTTTGAGATTATGTAAAAAGTATGTTAATACAAATTTGTAGATCTTTTCATTACCTGCCAGTTTAGCATACGGCTTTTTTCCAAAGGACTTGTAGTTTTGTCAGCAATCGAGATAAACCGTTTTTAATTCTTAAGATCTCAATTCTCCACCCTCCCATCCACTTTCCGCCCTTAGATCGCGCGTAAATTATTTTTCCTTTAATTTTCTATTTTTTAGCTTCATTTTTCAATGGGTTTCATACTACCGCGAATTGTTATTTTTTGCTTTGAAAAATTACCCTGGTTTATAAGAGCTTTTTCGGCAAAAACGATATACGTATATCAAGCCTGAATAATATTATATTATATAAAAAAATAGCACAACAATATTCAACTACATTGCTTTATAATTCAAATTACCAAATTTGCTTTAAATTGCAAAAATAAATTTTTTAAAAACATTTTTCAAAATGCTAACTTCAAATTTTTCCTTTGCAGCACGAATCTATTGAAATGTAGTGCTGTCACGCCAAGCTCTTCGGCACACGAACTGTGATAAAACATGTATACGACAGATTAACACCTGTGAAAATAATACGAAGAATCTACCAACACACTACCACATACACAGCGACCGTTATACGATCAAATTTAATTCACTAGAAAAGCTACAGCGAAGTTACGACAGAAATTTCAATATCAAAATCAGCGCGTTAAGTGGAAAACCGGCAAGCTGTCTGCGCTATCGATTCGGAACTTTTCAGCAAATATGCTGAACAATCTGGGCGCCAATGTTTTGGGTAAGTCGGAGCGCAAATATTTATCAAACGATATATAAACTCATAAATATTTCATATTCGGAATGTGTATTGAAATATTTCATAAGAACTCAATTAACGGCATATAAACGAAATGCAAATCGTCTAACGTCGTCGCTGTAAGTTGAGTTGTTGTAGTTGTTATTTTTCCTTTTTGTGTGTCTTCAAGCAAATATACATAATTAAGATCGCTCGGAGAATTACGCTAATCAATAATAATGTTTCAATTTAGCAATAGCACAACAATAACAACAATAAACAAGCTACACCGAAGACAACAAGTAAATTAAACTAATTTTTTGTGCATACGCAGTGCCATGCATACATATGTATAGCTGTATGTGCATTAATGTGTGCGTAAGTGTTTGCGATTTCCCACACCAATCTACAAGTTGCCTAGCGGTCAGGATCACTGGAATTTTAATCAGCGTAATCAACGCTAAATGGCGGATAATTGAGCGGCGGCGGCGCCGGCTAGTGCGTGTGTGTGTGCATCAATACAAACGCTGATATGTGTGCGCCTGGGCCGCAACCAGTAAATGGATCGAATCGAGAGTGAAGCGCACCGATCGCCGCTCGCAGACGCGTTCAGGTTCATTGGCGGCTGTTTGCCGATGTCACAACCATTTAGCAGTGCGTCTGGCCCACTGACTCCGTTCCATGGGTGGGCGACCACTTGCCTACCCACTTACCATCATTTATCGCCAAAGCCAAACATTGCCGGCAGTGTTAATTGTAATAATTGCTCAGCTCAATAATTGTGGAAATTATTTTAATGCAAATTACAACTGATTGTATAAATTATACAATATTAACTTCTTCTTACCGCAATGTTAATGATTTTTAAACACTTTCGTTTTCGACAAAATCACCGCCTACCGTGTGTGTGTGTGTGTTTGTGTGCAGTTGTTATATAATATATACAGTTACGTATATAAATTAATGTAAATTGCAAAAACATACACGCAGGCTTCTAGTGGCCTTTACACGCATAATGCAATCGCCGCTGTTGTTGTTGTCGCCTTTGCCTGCATGTGCACTTGTTGACTGCTCCATTTGTTGCAGCAACGGCTTGTCGCTGCTGCCAGTTCTGCGCTTTTACCAGCCACTTTACGTGCCAACTGCAACGGTCATATATTTTATAAAATTCAAGTGCCATTTTTTCAACTAGTAATTAATTACTTTAATTTGTTCGATTATTAATTTATTGCACATTGTTTCGAGTACAGGCTGGAACACTTCGGTGGCAGCACACCGCATACAAGTGCATACTATGTACTCTAGCATATAACTATTGTATGTTAGTGTGTGTGTGTTTATGTGTGTGCGCTTTCGATAGTGCGAGCGTTGCATTTTTACGACCTTTATGTAATGCTCTTGGTGCAAATATTATAGTTGGCAATTTATCGCTTTCGCGTGGAACGCTTTGCTCAGTGATATACGAAGTAAGGCAAATTTGCTCCTAAGGGATTTATTATTATTATTTTTTTAATTTTTTTAAACTCTGTAGGATCAATATTTTAAAATATTTCAGTGGAATAAATAAATTTTTGCAAAATGATAGACTTTAAAAAAAAATTGTAACGATAACGAAACCAAAAAAAAAAAATCGCTAACTTCAGCTGTACCGAAGCGTTAATACCTTTTCCAGTTGCATAAAAGAGTAAAAACTTATTTAACTTGATTTTGAATCGTCACTTAGCTATGTATATGCTAAAGTGCTCCGTTAACAGTGATTTCGCCAAGTGAGCAGGCTCTTGGGGAGTTGATTAGGTGCGAATCTTCTAGTACCCTCAATACCCGATATAAAAAAGGCGGTTTGGAGGAAAACGCTTTCAAAGTTGACATTGCTAAGTTGACTGATCCGAAAGCTTCTACACTACGGTGGATAGGACAAGTATTTCTTTAATACTAATAAACAAAATGAGTGATGTATTTGGAACGCTCAAGTGTACTTTCAGCAAACAGAATTGATTTTTGAAAATTGTAATCCTTAATCTCCGTAAATATGATGATTAAAAGTATAAAAAGCGAGTTAAATTTAGCAAGCTTAGGCACTTAAGAGCAGTATATTTCACCTTTCTCATCTGTCTTTCGAATGCCATATAATATTTATTTTCCACTCGAAATGTGGTAGTGAGATACGTGAAACCTTGGTACTTTCGCAATTTTTCTAATCTATGTTGGAGCTCTGCCCACTTCTCAATGTGAAAACAATGATATCCGGTCGAATTCGATAGAATAAAGTATGTGGATTGCTTATTCAAATAGTGTAATCTCCTTCGATTCAATTTACTCTTGATTGCACTAGTTGTGTGTTCGATTCGGCACGATTCAAAGACTTAACCTATCGAAGGACGGAAACGTGCAAATTTGATTGGTATGATTTTACCGTTAAATTCCTCTAGAAAAAAAGCATGTAACACTGCGAAATTATATCAGAAGTAATGCAGTTGGATTTGTATGTGACATTATGGCAGGTAAATGCTTTTAAAGTTTCTGCGATTTGAGAGTGGGGAGGGGCCGACAACGTAAGAATTAAAAGAAAATAAATGTCTGTCGGGGAATAGATTTTTTGAATGAATATTAAGGGAAACACTCATATTTTTGGAAAATTTCTGATATTTGTCAACAATTTCATGCTGTTGCCATACCATTTTATACTCTCTTGTTTGTTAGATCATCAAAAGTAATTAATATGTTTGAACATTTTAGAAAAAATTCTCAATATTTTGTTTTAAGCCTCTTTTTTGGATTATAAAAAATTTCAGCTTGCTTGGAAATGAGGGTGTAACAGAGTTTGAATTCTCTACAAAACTATCTCTAATTTTCAATTAAGAAACAAACAACTTCAAAGTTCTTTAAAGACAATTTAAAATACTAGTAAGGTATTGGCTTAGAATTTTTTATTTTTCAAGAATAAATACATTTCAGATAATTGAGGGTAGTTTTTAATGCTTAAATCATTTAAGTTCCACTAAAATATAATTGAAAACCAAAAACCTTTATAAACTCTATTGCACTCGCAGAAAAAGCGCTTCTGCAATGCAGATGGAATTAGCCGATGGCGGTTTTAACAACACTTATGCATGCAAATTTTACACCAGATTGCTTCTAATGACAAATTATATAGAAACAAATACATTCTATATATGTACGTGTGGTAAACCTTTGTTGTCTAGCGCTTTTTAAGGTGATAAATTTCCTAATCCTTTGATCCGCAAGCAGCAGCCACAACAAAGTCACAAAGCCTAGTTTTACGACAATGAAAATTTACATTTTTCAAAATCTCTCACCGCCGTCACCAGAGCAGCGCATGCACAGTGGTGCGAATTGCACAAATCCTTGTTAAAATTGCAAATTGCCCATCAGGCACTTGTCGACTCAAGCACTTGAACTGAAACATTTTGCCACCAATTAAAAGCCATTTGCATAAGCATTTATTATTTTTTTTTTGTTTTGTTGCCTGAGGAATGGTGAACATTTTCAAAATTGCACAAACACCAATTGAAATCCAGTTTTGTATGTAGTAGTAGCGCGAAAAATTTGCATTTTCCCTGCTTTGCCGCCTAAATTGCTGCAACACTTTTATTCGACGTAGAAATGCTAGCTGTGCGACCGCTTAGCCTGCAGCGCGCTCGTTACATTTGTTGCTGCCGTCAGTATTAAATGAAAATTCCACGATTTATTCTATGTGAAAAGTTTTTAATGCCACCGACAGTCGACAAGGACTGAGTGGCACAGCGAGTGGCCGACTGAAATGGCGTCAACAAGCCGGTTGGCAATGGTGAGTGAGTGCGAGTGCCATTGATTGCCAACTGCCGCAAGTCTGTTTGTGCCACGACGTTTATGCCAGCGCTGCTGTTGGCAGGCGCAAAAGGATTAATTAAATTAATTTCACAATTGCATTTGTAATTCGTTGGACTTAATTTTACGCACCGCTTTGCTGTTGTGTACCGTTATGTGCACATATGAAACGCTCTGTGCGCGTTCACCGGTTTGTTGTTGTTGCCTTGCTGATTTGCCGCTATTTTCTACGCAGCGATTTTCAAATCGGCCATTTTGGAAAATTTCCTGCAATTTCGGCACGCATTTTTTTTCTCGAATGCTTTGGCAGCCTTACCGCAGTTTGGCATATGCCGAGCATTTGCGTTGCCACACTTTCCGCGCGCGCCGCACTTGTAGCGAAATTTTCGAAAATTGCCCAAATTGTTCGCTATAAATTCTCATTTGGCAAAATTCGTAATTAATTAATCGTTTTATGCGGTTTGTGCGGCAACGCAGCACGCGTCCGCAAAGATGCAACAGCTGCGGTATTTGGTTTTTGGCGATCTGCTATTGCAGCCGCAATAGCGAATGTTGCAGCTGATAATTTATGCGTTTTTAAGCGTTGCCGCAATAAAATTGGTTACTCAAATCGCTGCGCGACATTCGCTGCGCAGAGGTTCACGGGAAGGCACAGTAGTGGAGTGTACTCTTGATTACATATTTCTGAATTATCGATATCTTCAGCTGTTAATAGCTGATAAGTGGGTATATGCTGATCCGAGCTGAACAATTTGTTGTCGATTGTAGCGTTAACTTAGATAATAATGCATGCCGAATTTCGTGAAGATATTTTGTCAAATAAAAAAGCTTTCCATACAAGTACTTCAGTCTGAACGGTCAGTTTGTGTGGCAGCGATACACTTGAGTGGTTTGATATCGGCCGTTCCGACAAATGAGCAGCATTGTGCAAAATTTTAAGTAGATATCTCAAAAACTGAGCGATTAGTTCGCGTATATTAGTATACGAGTATATATACAGACGTATGGACGGATAAATGTCATGGCTAAATCGACGCATCACGTCACACTGGTTATTTATATACATATATACGCCAAAGACATCAGCTATGCTGCATTTAGCTTGACAAAGAAAAAAACAATTAAAATTATAAGCAAATTGATACACAAGTTGTCATGCTAACATAGGTAAAAAA